GTGAAGTGTTTTTTAAAGTTGGACTATTATAGGAATATGACTTAATTGGGGTAACGGTAATTAAAATATGAAGAAATGAAATGCCCAATAAAATCTATGCCTTAAAAAGTTTAAGGCGGTGTTTTAACTCTACTCGAAGACTTCTGAAAACATAGCCGTTGGGTTCCAACCACATGAGACAAATATCTACCGGATAAAATTTTGAATATTTAGTGTTTGAACTTTTAATGCATATATAACTACTCAGATGAAAGGAGCTATTAGAATTTTTGATTGTTTAAGTGGATCCAAGTAAACCAATTTGATACCTATTAATTCATTCTTGTTGTTTCAAGAAGACCGAAACAAATCAGTGATGTAATTAAAATTTTAATATTTTGAGGTATTTTGTATTATTTCAATGTATTTGTACAATTGTTTTGGAATGTTTTAAGGTATTTCAAGATACTTTCTAGTATATTTCGACCAATGTTTTGAAAAAACAATTTATAAATTTTTTATTTTTTTCATTATGTTTCTAAAACGGGTCGAAAACGTTTATGAAACACGTCAAAATATTTTTATTTCTTAGGTAACTGAGATAATGCACCGAAATAAAATTTTGATCCTTACTTGTTGGTAATGCTTAAAGATTTTGGGTGTTTATTTTATATGTTAAGTGTGCTTTTTTTATCTTTTCTTTGACAAACTCAGAGCAAAATGTTTTGGAAGGGGAACAAGGGCTGCAAGATGATAACCGATCAAATGTTGAGTTTTTGATTCAAAGGAAAAAGAGGCAGAGAATAATCGTGGCAACAGCAAATGACGGTGGTTTTCTTTTGGGGGGGGAACAAATTTATAAACACTTTTAGGGTTCTGAGAGATCTATGATAATCAAAATATTTTTTATTTTGTAGATAAATAATGAGTTGGTTTTTTACAAATATAGGTTTGTGTGGTACATATAGAGACGCTATCGAAAAATTGTAGAATAAAATACCATTTTGGTCTATTTTATACTTTTTGTCTCAATGTGGTCTCCATTAAACTTTTCAGTTTGGATTTAAATGGTCCAATCAACAAAGAAAGTTTAAAATGGGGAACATAAAAAATGCTACGTGCTCACTTTTGATCCTTAAAGTTTGTGCATGACATTTCACTTTGATCCCTCTACTTTTTTTTTTTTTAATTACATCCCTAAAATTTTCAATTTAAGTTAATGTTCCCCGAAATTGCTAATAGAAAATGTAGCGTGTGCCACACAAAAAATGCCATGTGTTCTTTGGGGATCTAATTGACAAAATTTGTTATTTTAGTACCTGCATACGCAAAAGGTGGCACTAGTTAAAAAACAAAAGCAATCTATGGACTGGCTAGTTGTTACCCCCTTAGCTTTTGGCTCGGCTTTGGCATGGGACTGCCTTGCCCAAAGGCGCCTATGCTTTAGCCAAATTGGATTTTGCTTGGTGAAACAAACCCTTAGTGCAAAATTGGCTTCCTAAAGGATTTGGACTTGTGTTTTGTTGGGGTACGAAGTGGATCGGTAAAGGTTCAAGTGGCATGCAATGACTATGCCCCAGGCTTAAGTCATTACAACTCCTCGGCTCAAAGTATGTCTATTGCTATCAATAGGTTTTTGCTCACTAATGCTATTATAGATGGAGGTGCTCCGCGAAAGGGTGCCAGGCCAGCTTTGCTAGGAATCCCTATGCCCCAAAGCCTTGGCACACGAAAGCAAGACGACCCCAACAAATGCTTGTTATGGGTAGAGGCAAGTTATTCTAAAGTTCGAGACCTGAGATGTAGGGTTGATGATTGGAGGGACTTGTTCTTAGTGGAAGCTTCATGCATGGCTGAAAGAGGTAGTGCATGCATGGGCACGTCACAACCGGTGGGTTAATTGAAGTCCCATGCATGGCTGAGGAAGACAGTTCATGCATGGGCACGTTGGACACAAGCAAGGCTAGCCAGTAGGCTTGAATTGTGGGGTAAGGTTAGCTTGGAAGACCAAGCCATGAGCTAGGCATGGCTTGGTAAGAAGGCAAGGCTAATCAGGTTTTGTAGGCTCGCAAGAAAGGCAGGTGCACAACATGTGAGGATGTTCCAAACAGTTGAGGCATGTGTACTACAGACGGTGGCAATTTCACTTGGCTGCTGGCATGTGCATGACATACATGGCAGTTCTGTACAATAGTTGTCATGTGCATAACATGAGGGAGATACTAGCACACAACATGTATAACAGTTATGGGCAGTTGCTGGCTGGGTCAGCCAACAGTTATAATTGTCCCTTGCCATGGTCAGCATATGTGGGAGTGACAAAGGAACTCAACCATGGTCAATAGATTGTGGGGAGTTTTGTGGGCGAAACTAATTGTTACTTTACATTTCCTAGATGATTGGACTTGTAACTGTTACTTTGTATGCTATATATAAGTATGTTAGGGTTTGCAGTGCAACTAAGAGAATTTGGGCACGATTTGTAAGCAGACCCATTGCCAGTTTTCCTTTAGGTTTGCTGAGAAGTAAAAAGTTTGGCCATTTGGCCTATAAATCATGTGTGCCTTTTGTGAGTTATGTGCTTGCCCAATATTTTGTTCATTGTGCATTTTTGTGAACGGTTGTATGCATTGACTGAGACTGAGTATGGGATCTCAGTGCCATCACGAAGCAAAATTCGAGTGAAAATTTGATTCCCATGACAGTTGTTATCAGAGCTACAGTTTTTGATCAGGGCGGGTAGACACGTTGTTGAATTACGTGAATGTGTGATTTGTCTAGAGGATTTTTTAGGTGCCCATGTTAGTGATGCTGAAACTAGTATATTTGTGCAAATGGAGTAACATGTTGTCCAGATCAAAGGCTTGCAAATGGCCTTCGACAGTGATGTGATAGACATCGACATTAAGATTGCAATGATGATAGAGGATGTTTGTCCCTCACTGATGCTGTCAAGACCAAGCTCAAGAATCTGGAAGACGAACTGACCCTAGTGAAAAGGGCCATGCATTCTTGACCTGGAATGGGTAAGACATCTTTAAAGATCAAGGTCCTTGAACCTAAGGCTTCAGAGGTACTTGGAATGGAAGGAGCTGGAGAACTTTTATGGGACATAAAGCAGTATTTCAAAGATGTCCATGTGCCAGCGGGAGAGAAAGTAACCATCACCAGTATATACCTCTTTGGTGATGTCAAGCTTTGGTGGTGGACCCGAAGTGAGGATGATGCTGCTGTGGGGCGAGCCAAAATCGAGACGTGGGATACGTTAAAGAAGGAGTTGAAAGATTAATTCCTTCCTAGCAACACGATATGGATTGCTAGGGAGTCGCTCAAGAAACTAAAGCACACGGGAACCGTTTGTGATTATGTGATAGAGTTTAATTCTTTGATGTTGGATATCAAGAACATGTCCAAGGAGGATAAGCTTTTCAATTTCATGTCCGGTTTGCAAGGCTGGGCACAGGCTAAGGTCGAGTTGCGTAGGCAGGGGATGTGTGATTTGCACACTGCCATCGTTGTTGCGGATGACTTGATTCACTTCAAAACGGGTAACAGTGAAGGTCTTTTCGAAAAGAAAAGAGGGAAAGAGGCTGCAAGAAAGACCAGACTAGCACTTACAGTACGTGGCAATGTAGAGACATGCTTGAAAGTGGGTCTATAGGAAGGTCGAGTGAGAATGACGGTTCTACCTGTGGACGACTTTGATGTCATTCTCTGGAATGAGTTCTTTGTAAAGGCCAAGGTGGCATTGATGCCACATTTGAAAGAGATGCTGATCTCAGATGAGGGAATAGCATGCTTTGTGTCGTAGAGGTGACAGACTAAAGCAAAAGAGATGGTAAGCAGAAAGTGGAGATGCTCTCTGCTATGCAAGTGAATTCTGGGTTGCAAGAAGGTGAGATGACATATCTCTCAGCCTTGGTAGAGAATAAACTTAGTGGGAAGGTTGAGAAGCTTGGTTTGGTGGCAGAAATTTTGGAGGAATGGGTTGAGACTATGCCTCCAAAACTTCTTAAGACCTTTATGCCCGGTTGTGGAGTTGATCACAAAATGAGCTGGAGCATGGTGCAAAGTTTCTAGCTTGTATCCTTTATCGGATGTCGGTCGTGGGACAGTAGCAATAACTATGGAGGGGTGAGATAGAGGACCGGATGTTCTATTGCATATGGGGTTTCTCGTTTTAAGCAAGGGTTGCTTGACGAGTCAAAGGACAATTTGGTCAAGGCTGCCAGTCGAAGGAAGAAGATTATTGATCCTGATCAGACCAAGGGGAATTGGAACAATCTCTCGACGAGGACGTGGAACTCTTCTGGTGGGGGCTCGCAAAGAAGGTAGGTGCACAACATGTGTATACACAACATGCACAACAGTTATGGACAGTTGATGGCTGGGTCAGCCAACAGCTGCAATTGCCCCTTGCCATAATTAGCATATGTGGGAGTGGTAGAGGGACTCAACCATGGTTAGCAGATTGTGGGGAGCTTTGTGGGTGAATCTGATTGTTATTTTGCATTGACTATGCGGTTGGGCTTGTAATTGTCACTTTGTATGCTATATATAGGCATGCTAGAGTTTGCAGTGCAATCAAGAGAGTTTGAGTACGTTTTTTAAGCGGACCCATAGCCAGGTTTCCTTTAGGCTTGCTGAGAAGTAAAAGGTTTGGCTATTTGGCTTGTAATTCGAGTGTGCCTGTTGGGAGTTGTGTGTTTGCCCAATATTTTGTTCATTGTGCAATTCTATGAGCGATTGTGTGCATTGGTTGAGACTGAGTGTGGGATTTCAGTGCCATCACGAGGCAAAATTTTAGTGAAAATTTGATCCCGTGACACTAGCTTTGTAGATTCCCCCCCAACACAATCAAGAGAAACACACATACTAAAGGTTCAAAAAAGGAGAACACATAACAATATATCACTAACCCATCCTTCTGTGTAACCTATTCACATAAGTAAAGTGTTTAGATTCATGAGTAATGTGCACATTTGTGAGGCCTTGGTCGGAATGCAGCAGGGAGTCAACCTATGGGCACAGAAAAGCTTGGTACTGCTAGCCGTAAAGGTAAGATTTATAGCCATGCTGCTTAATCCATCTAAAATAAATTAGGATAGCCATTTCCAGCTGCACAATTTGTACCTGAGAGTAGCCTTGCCTTTAGTGATAGGGGTCAGGTCAATAATAACTATGATATTGCCCTGTTGATTTAAGTCATGTGCCCAATTCTAATTGCAGGCGGGATTTGATCTTGGTTAGTAGTACTAAAGACGAAAAGACCAACAAACAAGCATACTGATATCTACTAAAACTACATGTGGATGCTCTACAACACTGGCAGTAGCATTATCGAAAACAGTAGTAGTAGAGAACATTGCTGCTAAAGAAGGTAGATCGGAGCCTTTTCTTTGGTTAGCGTCCCTCTCTACTCTAGTTGTTGCTACATGTGTTTGTGAAAGTAAAATTATTTACCCTACCACTTGCTTCGCCGGGAGGGACAAACATGACATCTCTAGGATGCTTTATGTATGGATGTACCAAATGTGAGTTTAGTTAGATGTCATGTCACATGTGGCATTTTTCTCTATCAAATAAATGGTCATCATATCAAATTAAAGGGTCATCATCGACTGGATCATTTAAGTGTAAATTGGAGATTTTAGTATTAAAGTGAGGCAATTGGAAAAATGGGGATCAAAGTTAAATGAAGTGCATACTTTAAAGACTAAAAATGTATTTCAACCAAAATGGCAATTCCCTTACGAAGTGACAAACTTTAGGCTATCTTGTCCATTCACTACTCAAATAAGTACCTTTGACTATTAAGTGTTGGAATTTGCTCTTATTAAGCAAGACTGATCATGTATTAAACTTCTTGTGGGTTTAGATGCGAGCTGGATGAATTGTCTTCACTACTTATGTCGACTTCATGTGTTTTCTGTTTTCCAAGTTTTACTTTTATGGTCAACTTTTATGCTCTTTATGTGAAATTTAAACTTCAAAGTTTTAATTTGTAGGAAGTTTGCAGTTGTGTGAATATATTAATAAAAATATTTCTCTTTGTTCCAATTGACTCAGGCCATTCTGATCCAACAAAGTTGAAGGAAACTGCACAAGACGTCCAGCGTTTATCTCCTAGCGAGCTTAAGAGACGCCAGTTGGAAATAAAGGTGAGAATTATAAGGCTTATGGTATCAACATTTAAAAATAGAGCTTATTTTACATGTTTTGTTTCCAGTATTGGGTAGAAGTTAAAATAACTTGCTTAGCATTTTTTGTTGGCAAAAAGAAGAGGCTTAATGAGCTAGGAGAGTGGCCCTGCTTCTTCACATATTAGAATGATGGGGCTTGGAATTTGAAGATAGCTAGATTGGCCGTTGTATGATTTCTTCTTCTTCTAATACTTCTTATTAGATTCCATTAGATCCCAACTACACGACTAAAAATCTTACAACCAGAAAGATATTGAGTTGCTCCCCCACTCAAACAAGAGTGAGAAAGAATGTGGTTTGCTAGCATGGTTGCTAGCCCATTCATAAGCTACAAAATAGAACATTGGTTAGAAGTCTCCACCTGCTTAAGTTAGTATCTCAATCGAATATAATAACAGAGAATGTGTGAAAAGCAATAAAGCAAAATCATAGAGCTATATAGAAATAGGGTGCTTGAGGCAAGAGGTTGTATCTGACCCTCCTTTGTATTTACGGTCAATCCACTTGTGGGTAGGATTGTTTCATGACTAAGTAGTGAAGAATGAATTTTCGATTGGCCAAATCAAAGTCAATCAGTTGAGCGCTGCAATGGCCCTGCTTGTGAATTGTGCTTTCATAAGAGTGCACGTCAGTTTGAAGTGTGCAACAACCATTTTTCTTCTTTTCTCTTTTGAGTGAAGGGTGCAGGGGCAGAGCTACATTAGGTGGAAGGGAGGCACTTGCCCTTATGACTTTTGAACCACTTTTATATATGTTCCCACAATTTGTTTAATTTCAAACATATGCCCCCGAGTTTTAAGAAAATTTGTGTAAGTGACTTATTTTTTATCTTTTAATTTTCAACAAGTTAGTTATGAGATCCCAAATTTTTTAAATAGGAATTTTAAAGATTTAATAATGTGGGGTTTATAGTTTTTATATTAACTAAGTTAAGGAAAAAACATGAACATAAAATTTATAACGGAGTAGAAGTGTAATTATGGAATCTCTTCTATGGTTACAGTACTAAAGGATAGAAAAAATAATAAAAGAAAGGGAAAGAAACTGTACTGATTTTTGTAAGAAAAAAATGAGTGGTGTTCACGTAATAAATGTTATGTATAGGATGGTGTGTGTGTCATGAAGAAAAGGTGTGTGGGCTGCCTATTATTGGAACGACTGTCATTATGGAAGATCTGACAACCAAATTAATTGAAGAGAGATAAAAATAAAATGAAATAAAATAAAGTAAGTGGTAGTGCCTATATAAAGAACAAAGAGATAAGAGGAATAAGTAAAGGAAAGAGGCAGACCAATAAGTCGTGAGTTTTGGACGAAGAATCAAAGGGTGGTTCTATGACAAATTGTTATGAGATTTAAGCATATTGTTTTGGATGGCTTGAGGTACCATTTTATCGGGGTCAATTGACAATTTTAAGGTACTAGGTGGTATACAATATGCTCATTCTTGAATCTTTTTGCAAAGAGGATTTTCTTGATTATTTTTTGTTGTATTTTATTTTGTGTTATCGTAATTATGAAATTTCTATTTAATTTCTTTGAGTATATTGATCACATTGATTGTGTTTTGTGTGGATTGAGATTGGATCGGTTGTCAAAAGTCCAATGCATTGCTAGCCAAGAGACCCAGTGGGAAATTGGGTTGAGGTGGGATGATTGGTGAGATGCTAGATCTGTGTTTTGATCTCGCATTACGTGGGATAAGCGAAGTATGGGTTGATTCGTACCTACTATTCGAGATACTTGACATTTGTTATGTGATCCCTCATTTATTTGGCATGCGATACCGCTGAGCATATTGTTACTTGCTATATTGTATACTTCCCGTTTTATTTAATATTTTTGGGTTGATTTTGGAGAAAAGATTGGAACAAAATATTTGAAGAAAGATGGGTGGATATCTATATAATTTTTGTAATATTGAAATTGAGAGGTTTAATCATATTTCAAGGTTAAATTGATAATCGTAATTTCATTGAGGCGATTAGCGCTCTTTCAATTTTAATTTGGTGTAATTTTTTGTATTTAACCAAATAACGTTTTTGAGAAACCGGGGCAGTATATTAGTGGCCTATTGCATCCCTAAAACAAGTGTTTTATGGGTTGAATATAACATAGGTGAAACATTATGACCTTATATAATATTTGATCGAATTCTATAGATCTCTTCTATACAATACGTTGTTCTCTATTTTGTATAGTTTCCCTCAGCAAATTTTCTATATGTTGTAACCTAATAAAACATGATGAGATGTAGTATGTACAAAAACATTTTCTGTTATTTCAAATAATCAATTCCTCAATAAGATAGAAGATTAGTTTAAATAGATTTTACAATAAAATAAAGGATGATTTTGTTATAGACTAGATGATTGTGTACATCGAAGGAAATGAATGAGAAATTTAGATTAGATTTAATGAAGACAATTATTGAGATGTGAAAGAATGTTGTATTCCGCTTTAATACACAATTGTATAGAAATAGACCAAGAAGAAATTATTTTTTGTCCTTTGATTCTTATTTATTTAGGCTAAATAGAAATTGATTTTATTGTTGCATATAATAATATAGACAGAAACATAATATATTTTTATCATGCCTTAACTTGAATTTTTTGGGTATAAGCTGGGGACTTTTTTTTTTAGTTAGATTTTCCTCTAAAACAAAATCTTGGCATTGCCCATGTAAGGGTGTGGGGCGTCTGTTGTTTTCTTGCCATTTATTATATTTGTGGGCCTTCCTTCTAGCTTTTTTGAAATTATTCTTGGAGTAAGAGTCATAAATTGGCTTATGCTACATTAACCCATGCTATGAATCGTTCTTCACAAAAATCATTCTTATAGCACTTTAGGATTTTTTTTTGCAATGTTTAGCAAGTCTAAATTATTTTTCCTTAATTTAAATCTTGTTATATTTGTATGGTTATAGCTTCTTTTTTGTTGTTGGTGTTGTTGTTACCCCCTTTATTTTGGATTAATATAAAGTTAATGGAAAAGAGGTTCAACTTATATATTGTACCTTCCTACTTAAAATTTCAAATAATTCAAGCAAAATGGTAAATGTGGGTATAACCATCATACTTTGTCTCCTAAACTATTAAGTAAACATGAATAACTGTGTAGTGGCAATTATAAATAATGTGGCTTAAAATCAATGTAAAATAGACTCAGTATGAACCCAAACTTAATTTGACTTGTTCTTATGTTGACTTCACCGTGAATCCTTAGTTTTCCATGTTGATTGTTATTATCCCCTGCATGGCTTGTCCCTGTATTTGAAACGAAAACTTCCATCTGTAAGAATTGGATTGAATTGTTTGGTGGATTATTAAATTTATACATATATGCACGCGCATCACCTTTTCTTTTCTATCTTGGATTTAATTTCTTGCATTCTGCCACATGCTCTTTTCATTCATTGTGCTTATTTGGTATCTCTGTTGCCATCTTTTTTCTTGTACAGGAACTGATGGAGAAAATAAAAATGCCATCAGATGCACAATTGATGCAAATTGCAATAGATGACTTGAATAATTCCTCTCTACCTTTAGAAGATCATCATCGTGCATTGCAGGAGCTTTTGATACTTGTTGAGCCAATTGATAATGCAATTGGTAAGTGTTCTTTTATCTTGTCCACTAGAGCTGAAATGGCACATTTGCTGATTTTCCTCCTAGCATTGGGCAGTGCCCATGTCATTTTTGTTTCAAGGAGCAAAATTAGTTCCAATTGTAGCAGTGTAGTATTGTTTTGGCACTTAGTGTCACGGTAGAGGTAGACAGTTCAATTTCTGAATCATTTGGAACACCCATATTATTTATTGGGAACCATATTTTTTCCTTTATTTTTGGTGATAGGAAACACAATTTTATTAAAAGAAAAAGATAGCGTACAAATGGAAGTCATGGATGGAGAAATAATCCATCCAAGATACAAACCATCGAGAACAGTACATAGAGAAAAAAGCAAACAAACAAAGCCGCTTTTCAATTTGCCAAAATTGCAAATAGAGGGATATTTGCAAGTTACTTTGAAACCAACGCCCAAAAAATTGCTAGAAAGTGAATTTGGTTCCAAAGACCATCAAACACTTCTTATTTATCCTAAAAAATTCTTAAATTTCTCTCCAACCTAATCACCCAAATAATTGCAAAAAACAAACACATTCCTAAATAGTGCTTCTTTTACTTTTCCTTCCAAATTCTTTATAATCCACATGCAACATAGCTGAAATTGAATTTAGAACCACCCAAAGGAAGGCCCGCCATATCAAACAACTTATTCCATAAGGCCAATGCAATTGGATAATGCAAAAATAAATGGTTCACTTTCTCGCAATCCTTCTTGCACATAACACACCATTGAGGGGAGAGATAAATATGAGGTCTTCTTTTTAAAGCAAATCATTAGTGTTAAGCTTCTCAGGAGCAATGACTCATGTAGGGACGTCAGTGGACCGAAGCGGGGGCGGGGAGTGTAGTCTTCATCCCCGTACCCGCTTAAAAAAACTCCGTCCATCCCTGGTCCACCCTCGTTAACGGGTATAATTTTCATCTCCATCCCCGTCCACGGGTAAATTTCTAATCTCCGTCCCCGTCCCCATTTCCCTTAAGCCCAAGCCTAAGTAGCATAATCTAAAATTCTAAATAGATATAATATTTTAAATAATCCAACAACATTCTAAATAATCTAATACAACATAATGTAGATTGCAAAATGTAAAAGCCAAAACAATATAGTATTCTATTTAAAGTGTCATTGGACCACAAAAAGAGAAATGGAACTATTAGAGGAAAAGAAAGAAAGAGAAAAAAAAATTGAACTAAAAAAATGATAGCACTACACTTGAAGTTTTCTAGAAGAATTTTTATTATTACAATTCATATTACAACCATAAAGTGTTAAAAGATGAAAAATTAAAATTTCGCTAATTCAATAATTCTACTAACGATGAAATGCAAAACTATTTTACTCTCTCTTATTTGTTTTTAGAGCATGGTTAATCCAAACTCTTAACAGTTTCAATCAGTGAGCATACATAGAAAAGAACAATTAGGGAAAAAAATTAATAAGATTACCACATAGCAATGCCACTTGTTAGTTTGATTACCATATTTCTAGATTGACAGTTACAGTAAATATGTTTAGTTAGATCTTTGGAGTATATATATATATATATATAACGGGTAGTGGGGACGGGGCGGGGGTAAGGGTAAGTCCATCCCCGCCTTCATCCCCGTATGGGTTTATACGGGTATTCCCGTATACGTCTACCGTCCAATACGTATAGTCCATCTCTGGTCCAAACAAGACGGGTTTGGACGAATATCCGTTTTTCCCCGGTCCACTGTCATCCCTAGACTCATGCACAAACTTACACTTTCAAAGGGAATCCAATCTAACCAAGATTTCTAGTCAAAATGGGATTATCGGAAGATATAGAAAGATGTAAAACTCTATTCTATATTTTCATTATATATACATACATAAGACCGGAATAGGAAATTCGTGTAATTTGCCTAATTTCATGAAAAGAAGAATTCACTCTTTTATTATGTTGATAGAGGGTTGTTGATTAGTAATCAACAATATAGGTTAAAAAAAAAGAATTATCCAAAACTCTTGATTCTTTCTACAAGTAGATCTTATGTCACCATAGAAAACTCAGTTCTTTTTATTTTTAGTTGGATTCTGATAAATTAACTACTTGTTTGCTACAAATAAAATAATTGAACTTTCAAAGGAAAGAAAGCGTGGAGTTGAAATAACTCACTTAGAACGCTTTTTAAAAGATTGCTTGGTATGATTAGATCAAATAAGTCCTTCTGGAATGAATATTCACACCTTAGCCTTCCATTAGTTCCATATCTTCAAAGATGGATAAAAAATTGGGGGAGATGTCATCAATCAAAGACTCAAAGTAAGATTTACAAGAGAACAAGCCCGTTGAATCAATGATCCAAATAGTTTTTTTTCCTTTTGTCATGCTTATATTCTCAATGGCGAAATTATCACATCTTCCCAGCTAGATTTTGCATTTTTTTGAAGGTTGCAGTGACAAATAGTTTCATGTAGTGATTCCATTACAAATCGAATCACTACAAATCCCTTTCCATCTCTTAGTGGAATGCTAAGGTTTGCTAGCCTTCTCATTAGCTTTATTAGTTTTTACTTTGTCAAGCTTCTTTAATCTGGTTGCTATCGGTTTAATTGATTCTATCACTTCAGGCATCAGTATTATAATGTCATGAGAAGGCATCATGTTGTTATATGAAGCTATTGTAGCTAGACATGTTGTTTGTTTTTGGAACTGATGGTTGCTTGGTGGGACGAAGTGGTGGATATTATGTGTTATTCGGTGATAACAGTGTATGAGACTGGTTGGTCGTCTTTCTTTATCTGTGTGAGACAGGTTTGTATGTGAGACAGTTGTCTGACTTGGTCATGGATTCAGCCTGAAAGGCCAAACAATCATGGAGCATGAATGAACTAGTTGATTAATATCTATCTAGGGTGCTCCATTGCTTACATTGATTGGATGCTATCTTGCATTTTCAGTTTCATCCATTCCCCCAATTTCTCTCTGATTTTATCAGCTCTTTTTTTTTCGTGCCTCCAATATGTATTGATATGTCTGTTTTACTTTTGTCCCTGGCCAGTCGAAGGTAAATGTGATCTGCAAAAGCAATACATATGTTTTTTAAGACTATTTTGCTACTCATAATCCCACAAAAGGATAAGGAAAATTCACAAAAAATGCAACCAACGAATTCTTGAGTTATCATAATATGAAATAAATGCATTTTATGTTTTTTGAATTAAATGCTTGCGTTCCTGTTCAACAACTTCTCTTTAGGGGGAGAGTGGATATGAGGAGATGTCATTTTGTTGCCTCAACTGGCTATCTGGATTGTACTATTGTGTAAAGAGAACAAAATGAGAGTCCTTGGATATTAGGATAAAGAAAGTATAGGACCACCATAACTTATCGCTTTACTGTCGATTTGGGCTCTCTGGATCTAATTAATGACCTGGTGGGCAATTCAAACCCTACCTCATTTTTTAACTCCTATTATTGACAATGTTGAACTCCATTCCCTATTGTGGCTTTTAAGGAAATTCATTCTTCTATTAAACATCCAGACCTAAATCTGAATCATTTCATTCTTTCATGATATCCTTATTATCTTTGGCTGGAAGCTTGGAAGCATGGATACTCTGGCGAGGGTCGACATGGCAGTGTCGGACATGTGTCCGACACGGATATGCGAGGGACACGGCCGGACACTTGTCCGACAATTCTGCAAGTGTCCTGAATAGAAAATGAAAAAAAAAAATCTAGATACTGGAAAACCATGGGTGAGATAAGGGAATAAGGGGCTGGAAAAAAAAAAAAAAAAAAGAAAGAAGAAGAAGCTGATCGTCGATTGAGAGAGAAGAGGCGAAGTACGGGGCTGGAAAAAAAAAAAAAAGAAGCAGATCGTTGATAGAAAGAGAAGAGGCGAAGGGATATACTGTAGATTCAAATTTGTTTCTTTCCTTCTTCCTTTTTTCTTTCTTCTTCTTCCTCTCTTCGGCTGTTTCTCTTCTCCGGCAGCTTCTCTGTCGGTGCTCTAGCTAGACAAATTTTTTTTTCTTTCTCTCTCTCTTTCAACTGAACAAACGTTTATTAGTATTGTATAACTTACTTCGTATTTGTTAAATAAATTAATCCAAAGCCCACAGCCCACTTGTGTTAAACCCAAAAAACCCATTCTAATATATTAGTTTATTACTTAATTATTGTAAGATATTAACCAAATACTCAATGATTTTTAGGTCTTATTATTAATATTATTTATATAAAAAATATATAATATTATTTTAATTAACCGTATCCTTACTGTATCCGTGTCCTATATTTTAGAACTTTATTGTATTCTTGTGTCCGTATCGTATCGAATACGACATCTGTGTCTGTATCCGTGCTTCTTAGGCTAGAAGAATGCACATAAATGAGATGAGAGCTCCTGAAATAATAGTAATCATAATAACAATAGTATTCATAATAGTAATAGACTAATAGTAGCAATAATAGTAGTTTCTTTTGAATAGGAAAAATATCATTAGTTGGAAATAGGTGTACTTTGTGAAACACAAGTTGGGTTGCTTCACAGACGGTATGTGCCAGGTTGAGTGTCAAAGGTTTCATACTAGCCAGTGGTTTTCCAAGAAACCTTTGGTTTGGTAGCTAAATATATTTTGTTTGTTTACTTATTGATTGCATATTTTTGGTGGCCTATAGAAAAGTTTGATGCTAACAATATGCCTTCACAAAACTTTAGACAAAGAAATTTTTATGGGCGCTCGCCTGAGTTTTACTTCTTCATATTGTAGAGTAAGTAGGTGACAATCACTTTGTATGCTTTGGGAAAACTTTCCAAGGGCTTGGTTTGAGAGGTTTCGTAATTATATTATAGTTCAGATATAATATCTGCACCTTTCTCAGTTTACTTTATTTAGCTAGCATTCTCAATGTTTTTGGTACACAACTTATGATGCTGATACTGTCATGATGAAAGTTGACATGAAAAACATGCATAATATGAAGTTTTGTGTGGCTATGGAACTGAGGTAAACATCTTTGAGAGTTTGAAGTAACTTTTCTTGGGAACTTAGTTGTTAGACTAGAGAGGGATATCCTTATTTGTCAGTGCCAGTGGAATGTGTTTTTATTAAATTCTTTGAACTCCCTTGTTATTTG